CCGGGCCCTGGTGGCTCCTTACACACACACTCCCTCCCTCTCCATGACACACACCTGTCTGCCCACACACGGCCACACACCTGTCTGCCCACACACGGCCACCCACCTGTCTGCCCACACACGGCCACCCACCTGTCTGCCCACACACGGCCACCCACCTGCCTGCCCACACACGGCCACCCACCTGTCTGCCCACACACGGCCACACACCTGTCTGCCCACACACGGCCACACACGGCCACCCACCTGTCTGCCCACACACGGTCACCCACCTGCCTGCCCACACACGGCCACCCACCTGCCTGCTCACACACGGCAACCCACCTGTCTGCCCACACACGGTCACCCACCTGTCTGCCCACACACGGCCACCCACCTGCCTGCTACACACACGGCCACCCACCTGTCTGCCCACACACGGCCCACCACCCACCTACCTGCCTGCCTGCACACGGCCACCCACCTGTCTGCCCACACACGGCCCACCACCCACCTACCTGCCTGCCTGCACACGGCCACCCACCTGCCTGCCCACACCAGTTGATTGACAGTTGAGAGGCGGGACCAAAGAGCCAAAGCTCAACCCCCGCAAGCACAAATAGGTGAGTACAAATAGGTGAGTACACACGGCCCACCACCCACCTGCCTGCCTGCCCACACACGGCCACCCACCTGCCTGCCCACACACGGCCACCCACCTGCCTGCCCACACACGGCAACCCACCTGCCTGCCCACACACGGCCCACCACCCACCTGCCTGCCCACACACGGCCACCCACCTGTCTGCCCACACACGGCAACCCACCTGCCACACACGGCCACCCACCTGTCTGCCCACACACGGCCACCCACCTGCCTGCCCACACACGGCACCACCCACCTGCCTGCCCACACACGGCCCACCACCCACCTGCCTGCCCACACACGGCCACCCACCCACCTGTCTGCCCACACACGGCAACCCACCTGCCTGCCCACACACGGCCCACCACCCACCTGCCTGCCCACACACGGCCCACCACGGCACCCACCTGCCCCACACACGGCCACCCACCTGCCCCACACACGGCCACCCACCTGTCTGCCCACACACGGCCACCCACCTGCCTGCCCACACACGGCACCCACCTGCCTGCCCACACACGGCCCACCACCCACCTGCCTGCCCACACACGGCCACCCACCCACCTGTCTGCCCACACACCAACCCACCTGCCTGCCCACACACGGCCACCCACCTGTCTGCCCACACACGGCCACCCACCTGCCTGCCCACACACGGCAACCCACCTGCCTGCCCACACACGGCCACCACCCACCTGCCTGCCCACACACGGCCACCCACCCACCTGTCTGCCCACACACGGCAACCCACCTGCCTGCCCACACACGGCCACCCACCTGTCTGCCCACACACGGCCACCCACCTGTCTGCCCACACACGGCCACCCACCTGCCTGCCCACACACGGCCACCCACCTGTCTGCCCACACACGGCCACCCACCTGCCTGCCCACACACGGCCACCCACCTGCCTGCCCACACACGGCCACCCACCTGCCTGCCCACACACGGCCACCCACCTGTCTGCCCACACACGGCCACCCACCTGTCTGCCCACACACGGCCACCCACCTGCCTGCCCACACACGGCCACCCACCTGTCTGTCCACACACGGCCACCACCCACCTGCCTGCCCACACACGGCCACCACCCACCTGCCTGCCCACACACGGCCACCACCCACCTGTCTGCCCACACACGGCCACCCACCTGCCTGCCCACACACGGCCACCCACCTGCCTGCCCACACACGGCCACCACCCACCTGCCTGCCCACACACGGCCCACCACCCACCTGCCTGCCCACACACAGCCACCCACCACCCACCTGCCTGCCAACACACAGCCACCCACCACCCACCTGCCTGCCAACACACAGCCACCACCCACCCACCTGCCTGCCCACACACGGCCCACCACCCACCTGCCTGCCTGCCCACACACGGCCACCACCCACCTGCCTGCCTGCCCACACACGGCCCACCACCCACCTGCCTGCCTGCCCACACACGGCCACCACCCACCTGCCTGCCTGCCCACACACGGCCACCACCCATCTGCCTGCCTGCCTGCCCACACACGGCCACCCACCTGCCTGCCCACACACGGCCCACCACCCACCTGCCTGCCCACACACGGCCCACCACCCACCTGCCTGCCTGCCCACACACGGCCACCACCCACCTGCCTGCCCACCACAGGGCAGGCACACGGCCACCCATCCACCTGCCTGCCCACACACAGCCCACCACGCACCGGCCTGCCCACACACGGCCCACCACCCACCTGCCTGCCTGCCCACACACGGCCACCACCCACCTGCCTGCCCACACACGGCCACCCATCCACCTGCCTGCCCACACACAGCCCACCACGCACCGGCCTGCCCACACACGGCCCACCACCCACCTGCCTGCCTGCCTGCCCACACACGGCCCACTACCCCACCTGCCTGCCTGCCCACACACGGCCACCACCCACCTGCCTGCCCACACACGGCCCACTACCCCACCTGCCTGCCTGCCCACACACGGCCCACCACCCACCTGCCTGCCTGCCCACACACGGCCCACTACCCCACCTGCCTGCCTGCCCACACACGGCCCACTACCCCACCTGCCTGCCTGCCCACACACGGCCCACTACCCCACCTGCCTGCCTGCCCACACACGGCCCACTACCCCACCTGCCTGCCTGCCCACACACGGCCCACTACCCCACCTGCCTGCCCACACACGGCCCACTACCCCACCTGCCTGCCTGCCCACACACGGCCCACCACCCACCTGCCTGCCCACACACGGCCCACCACCCACCTGCCTGCCCACACACGGCCCACCACCCCACCTGCCTGCCCCCACACGGCCCACCACCCACCTGCCTGCCCACACACGGCCCACCACCCACCTGCCTGCCCACACACGGCCCACCACCTGTCTCTGATGGGTCAGTCTGGAGCACACGGAATATGGAACTGGGAGCCCCTCAAGAACAGTGGAAGTCCGACAGTAATCGCCATACAGTACTTACGAGCGTCATTGTCACTGACGCATCTGCGTTAGGAGTATAAGAGACGGTGTCATGATACAAGCTCCCACCTCAGGCAAGGTGAGTCACTCCATTCGAATCATTGGGGAAGTGTCCTGCACTTCACTTCATGCTCTCAATCAATAGGACGAGAGTATATGTTCTCATCACAAGAAAGTTAAGGAAGACCAGCAAATTTGTGATGATGATGATGGTGATGATGTGGAAGGCTGACCATTATTAGTATCAGCGGTACTGACGACTCTAGCAAGGGCGAGGAGAGCAAGTTTACACGCACAAATCACAATAGCGTGATGTATCAAATGAACAAACCCACAAGGGGCGTGATGAAGGTTCGAACCTACCTCAGAAAGAATCCCAGACGCGCCTTAATCGATTGTGTCACGACATGGTCAAAAGAATTTGACCATGTCGAACCCTTCAATCACGGCCGTTGTGGATTTGTTCATTTAAGAGTAAATTTGATTAACTTGTAGTGGCATGCTCACGTTGACCCACGACCCTGCTGAGAGCCCACGCTGACCCACGACCCTGCTGAGAGCCCACGTTGACCCACGACCCTGCTGAGAGCCCACGTTGACCCACGACCCTGCTGAGAGCCCACGTTGACCCACGACCCTGCTGAGAGCCCACGTTGACCCACGACCCTGCTGAGAGCCCACGTTGACCCACGACCCTGCTGAGAGCCCACGTTGACCCACGACCCTGCTGAGAGCCCACGTTGACCACGGCCCTGCTGACCCACGTTGACCCACGACCCTGCTGACAGCCCACGTTGACCCACGACCCTGCTGAGAGCCACGTTGACCCACGTGCTGAGAGCCCACGTTGACCCACGACCCTGCTGAGAGCCCACGTTGACCCACGACCCTGCTGAGAGCCCACGTTGACCCACGGCCCTGCTGAGAGCTCACGTTGACCCACGACCCTGCTGAGAGCCCACGTTGACCCACGGCCCTGCTGAGAGCTCACGTTGACCCACGACCCTGCTGAGAGCCCACGTTGACCCACGACCCGACCCTGGCCCCACGTGCTGAGAGCTCACGTTGACCCACGACCCTGCTGAGAGCCCACGTTGACCCACGACCCTGCTGAGAGCTCACGTTGACCCACGACCCTGCTGAGAGCTCACGTTGACCCACGACCCTGCTGAGAGCTCACGTTGACCCACGACCCTGCTGAGAGCTCACGTTGACCCACGACCCTGCTGAGAGCCACATCCTGCTATGGTCACGGGGTCCGTCATCGTTTTGGTGAAGATGATGTACACTGCGCCGCCCCCGTCTTGTGCACACACTCCTTAACTCACGTGAACAATCCCTGAAGCAACGGCAGTCATTTCTTGAGTCCCCAAAACAGCCATAACATGTTATCTATGTCAAGGACTAACTCTTTCCCAGTGTTCCCTGTTAAGGAACTAATCCTTAACTAGATTAAGGAGCCAAATGCTTCACTTAATACCAAGAGTGCCAGAAAGCCTCACTCCACGGACCTCGCCAAAAGAAAATCAGTTCTAGGCAACAGGAATACCACACATTACTCATCAGTTTCCTGCCTCCAAGAACGCCACCTGCTTGAGTGCCCGTGCCCGTGAGCCCGAGCCCGAGCCCGTGCCTGTAGGGCCCACTCCCTCGCTCGGGATGATGAAGCATATTGTCACCACAATAAATGTGGCGTGTATCTTGAGGAAATGAATAAGTGCGAGGACACAATGTTGAGGGACTCTACACATTGTTGGATCTGTTAGGCCCACTGACGGCACGGCTGGAGCAGCCCACACTGTAATTAGAAAATAATGTCTTTACTGAACAAAAACAGGGAATGAGACGCTCCGCAACACGGAGCTCACTGACATTGTTATGAGAGTAAGATGCCCAGGAGCGGGGCATGGGAGAAGTTGTGTCCCACATTCAGGAGCCGCACGACAAAGTCTTCGTAAACACAATAATAGTGGAACACGTATTTAGGTCTTCAATAAATAATTATAATCACCAGTCATAACAGAGACAAATGGCGAACATCACCTCGGATGGTCGCCCACCAGTGTTTAATACTCCGCACCGCCCGTGTCTACAACCACCAGTGTTGTAATACTCAACACCGTCCGTGTCTACAACCACCAGTGTTGTAATACTCAACACCGTCCGTGTCTACAACCACCAGTGTTGTAATACTCAACACCGCCCGTGTCTACAACCACCAGTGTTGTAATACTCCCCACCGCCCGTGTATATAAGCCTCCAGTGTTGTAGACAATGTACTCTAATGTCCTAGAGGGACATTAGGAGAGCCAGGCACATGATCGTGCTGAAAGTCGGGACATTGTACAAGGAGGTGTACGACTGTAAGAGGGACAATGCAGTTTAGATAGCAAGGAGCAGGCTGGCGTTCCGTTAAGTGTCCGCTAGTTAAGCCTGTATACGCTTAACTCACGGACAGTATGTAACCTACCCAAAGCCGTTGTAATGTCTAGCCGTGTAGCCGTTAGTAAGAGGAAATCCAAGGAGATATCTCAGTTTTAAAGAGCGCGCGGTTTGTTATCTGTAAGCTCAGAGCGTCCCTAGCGCCAGTGGTCGCGGAGTGAGGAATGAACGTTTGGGAAGAAGTTTGAGAAATGATTATTGTTTTTTGATAGGTGTAGATAGCGTCCTTAACCACCGTGTGGGCACGTCCACGGTAACACCAACATGGCCACATGGGCACCCTGCGGTATTGTTGTGGGGAAGGGAGGGTGGGGAGGTGGGTACACATCTTGGGGCATGATGGACAATAGTTGGTCCAGGGGGACCCAGAGGAGCCTAACTACACGCTCCATGTCTCCCATCAACAAGAAACGCCAAACGTTCTCAAGTTTCTACGATGGTTGAGAAGAAATAATCAAAAAGCGCCAAGCCCAGCACCAGGGACTACTGGTAAAGACGGCTACTGTACAGGGAACACAGGTGTCCCCCTCACCCACTCCCCCGCCTCCTTGCACCTAGTGCCTTGAAGTCTTGAGTCACACCACGTATTTCCTCTTGAAGGTGTGTGTGGAGGCTACCACTGTTGACCACACGCAGCGCCTCGACCATATCCTCACCTTGGTGGACACCTGTTTACTTCTCGCCTCAGCTTCTACCATTCTCCTGCTTCACGTCCTAGTTTACCTCGTTTTACAACTGTCCCTGTACACCTTATCCATTCCCCTTAGTATTTTATATGCAGTGATCATTTCCCTCTTATTCTCTCTTAGAGTGGTGTTGTGGTGGAAGATATGCTGGTAATCTCTATTACCATGATAATTGTAATGGTGGTAGACAGGGGGGGGGTATTTTTTAGCAATGGCACTTTCCGTAGTAATAGTGGGTATAGTGGTGGTAACAGTGGGTATAGTGGTGGTAATAGTGGGTATAGTGGTGGTAATAGTGGGTATAGTGGTGGTAATAGTGGGTATAGTGGTGGTAATAGTGGGTATAGTGGTGGTAATAGTGGGTATGTGGTAATAGTGGTGGGTAATAGTGGGTATAATGGTGGTAATAGTGGGTATAGTGGTGGTAACAGTGGGTATAGTGGTGGTAATAGTGGGTATAGTGGTGGTAATAATGGGTATAGTGTTGGTAATAGTGGGTATAATTGTGGTAATAGTGGGTATAATTGTGGTAATAGTGGGTATAATTGTGGTAATAGTGGGTATAATTGTGGGTATAGTGGTGGTAATAGTGGGTATAATTGTGGTAATAGTGGGTATAGTGGTGGTAATAGTGGGTATAGTGGTGGTAATGGTATAGTGGTGGTAATAGTGGGTATAGTGGTGGTAATAGTGGGTATAGTGGTGGTAATAGTGGGTATAGTGGTGGTAATAGTGGGTATAATAATAGTGGGTATAGTGGTGGTAATAGTGGGTATAATTGTGGTAATAGTGGGTATAGTGGTGGTAATAGTGGGTATAGTGGTGGTAATAGTGGGTATAGTGGTGGTAATAGTGGGTATAGTGGTGGTAATAGTGGGTATGTGGTAATAGTGGGTATAATTGTGGTAATAGTGGGTATAGTGGTGGTAATAGTGGGTATAGTGGTGGTAATAGTGGGTATAGTGGTGGTAATAGTGGGTATAGTGGTGGTAATAGTGGGTATGTGGTAATAGTGGGTATAATTGTGGTAATAGTGGGTATAGTAGTGGTAATAGTGGGTATAATTGTGGGTATAGTGGTGGTAACAGTGGGTATAGTGGTGGTAATAGTGGGTATAGTGGTGGTAATAGTGGGTATAGTGGTGGTAACAGTGGGTATAATTGTGGTAATAGTGGGTATAATTGTGGTAATAGTGGGTATAATTGTGGTAATAGTGGGTATAATTGTGGGTATAGTGGTGGTAATAGTGGGTATAATTGTGGTAATAGTGGGTATAGTGGTGGTAATAGTGGGTATAGTGGTGGTAACTGGATATAGTGGTGGTAATAGTGGGTATAGTGGTGGTAATAGTGGGTATAATTGTGGTAATAGTGGGTATAATTGTGGTAATAGTGGGTATAATTGTGGTAATAGTGGGTATAGTGGTGGTAATAGTGGGTATAATTGTGGTAATAGTGGGTATAATTGTGGTAATAGTGGGTATAGTGGTGGTAATAGTGGGTATAATTGTGGTAATAGTGGGTATAGTGGTGGTAATAGTAGGTATAATTGTGGTAATAGTGGGTATAATTGTGGTAATAGTGGGTATAATTGTGGGTATAGTGGTGGTAATAGTGGGTATAGTGGTGGTAATAGTGGGTATAGTGGTGGTAATAGTGGGTATAGTGGTGGTAATAGTGGGTATAGTGGTGGTAATAGTGGGTATAGTGGTGGTAATAGTGGGTATAATTGTGGTAATAGTGGCTATAGTGGTGGTAATAGTGGGTATAATTGTGGGTATAGTGGTGGTAATAGTGGGTATAATTGTGGTAATAGTGGGTATAGTGGTGGTAATAGTGGGTATAGTGGTGGTAGAGGTAAATGTAGGGTTAGTGGGGGTGGTGGTGACAAAGGCAGTAGTGTTTAATGTAAGCAAGCTACGTGAAGTGGTTATGGTAGTGGTGGATGACCTGACCTGTGAGTGACCTCTGGTGGTGATGGTGGATGACCTGACCTGTGAGTGACCTCTGGTGGTGAAGGTGGATGACCTGACCTGTGAGTGACCCCTGGTGGTGGTGGTGGATGACCTGACCTGTGAGTGACCCCTGGTGGTGGTGGTGGATGACCTGACCTGTGAGTGACCCCTGGTGGTGGTGGTGGATGACCTGACCTGTGAGTGACCCCTGGTGGTGGTGGTGGATGACCTGACCTGTGAGTGACCCCTGGTGGTGGTGGTGCCTCAGCCAGTGTTGTCCTCCACCACCTGGCCGACCAGAGTACACTTCCATCTGCCAGAAACGAAGGCTAAAGCGAAGCATCACCGACGAGGGCCTCGTACCCACAGTGAGTCATGGTGTGGGTCAGAAATCTCGCGCACTGTGCGGTCACTATCCCCGCGATAACCCACACTATCGCGGCTACCTTAATCAAGTCGCATGTAAGGCCTGACGCTGCAGCCCGTCCTACTACAATGTCCCACCGTCAAGATACTGTTGTACTAATGTGCCCTCTCCTAACCTACCTGGGGACGAAAAACAGAACACGGGAGTATGTCAATTTCGCCAGCCGCTTCTATTTTCTAGTACGGCGATTTTTGGCCTTAGGTAGAGTATGCGTCAAAATGCGACGTTCTATTAGGTGGATGGGTTGCTCAGAAATAATACCAAATGAGATCTGAAGGCATGGCAGGATGTGCAGAATCTCTCCCTGAGAGAACTCTATCAACATCAGGGGCCCGAGATTGTTCAACACGCTTCCACTATACATGAAGGACATAACTGGCCGACCCGTCGCAGTGTTCAAGACAGAACTTGATAAACACCTCCAAAGGATACCTGATCAACCAGGCTGTGATTCTTACATCAGGCTGAGAGCAACCACGTCCAACAGCCTGGTTGACCAGTCCAGCAACCATGAAGCCTGGTCGACGACCGGGCCGCGGGGACGCCAAGCCCCAAAACCACCTCAAGGTAGGCAATTGATGGACTTCATTTCATGTAAAGTTCCCAATTATAAATGTACTAGCATTGATGAATATCAGTTTTGATGGGTAATGATCACATCATAAATGAGAGGGGGTCCCATGCGGCCTCTGATCACCACTTGCCGGGTCACTACAACATTAGTGTGAAGGGATGAGTTTACACCAGCTAAACCTTCTAATAGTGTACGTGCACGTGACGCTCGCCATGCACCGGGCACGTGAACGGCCGTGCACTCGGCCATGCACTGGGCCGAGCCTAGGTCATCAGCATTCCAAATATGTTACAATGGCATTTGTGGAGAGTTAGAGTGGATAGCAATTTTAACTGTAAAAGTGATGGAGGCAGCGAAGGAGCGAGAGAGAAGGAGAGGGGGGCAGGGAAGGAGCGAGAGAGGAGAGGGGCAGCGAAGGAGCGAGAGTGGAGAGGGGCAGCGAAGGAGCGAGAGAGAAGGAGAGGGGGCAGCGAAGGAGCGAGAGAGGAGAGGGGCAGCGAAGGAGCAAGAGAGGAGAGGGGCAACGAAGGAGCGAGAGAGGAGAGGAGCAGCGAAGGAGCGAGAGTGGAGAGGGGCAGCGAAGGAGCGAGAGAGAAGGAGAGGGGGCAGCGAAGGAGCGAGAGAGGTGAGGGGCAGCGAAGGAGCGAGAGTGGAGAGGGGCAGCTAAGGAGCGAGAGAGGAGAGGGGCAGCGAAGGAGCGAGAGGAGGAGGAGGGAGGCATGAGGTATTGGGCAGTCCGCCGCCGTCCCCATGGCAACCCAAGGCGTCTGCCCTGGAGGACACCACCTTGGGCGCCAAGAAGCTGGCCCATGATTGGCCAAGAGGTATAGGCCCAAGTGAGCTTCTCTCTGATTGGCTAGTTTGAGGATCGGTAAAAACCGGCATCCTGCCGCCC